TCTTAGCGCTGAATGGTCGGGAAAGAGGGCCAAGGTCGCGGCCACCCGACGGCTCGGCGATTTTGCATGGGGGGAGGAGAGGGAGAAGGACCTTCGAACCGGCCCCATCTGAGGACAGAGGGGGTCTTTTCACCCTCGCCTCGAAATGGATCAGAGGAAAAGGGCAGGAATGGCGGAATTTCCAACTGGGCCAGAAGCGAACGCAGCTTCATATTTCCATTTTGCCTGACTTTCCTCCACACACCTGCGTGCTCCGAACAGCGGCCTTTCTGTCTGATGTCCCCTCTTCCCCAAATTGCTATACCCACCCCCCAAAAATAGTGTATTGTGAAGAGAGGAAATGAGGCGGCAAGATTGCATAGGGACATATGCGGACTATCGTTGCGGGACCCCGAAAATTTGAGATTTTGTTGCTTTCTTCGAATGTGTGTAACTTAACTCCGTTTCTCCAAATACACATACATATATAGTATAGTCTGCATACACACCAACACTCAGAAATATGTTCGTACAAATTGCTATACGTGTATTTTGGAGTGTATGTATCCATCACGTCCACCCGCATCCATATATGCCGCATTGCACGGATTATATATTTGTACGGGTATCTATGTTCTCTTTTTCCCGTCCAACATTCACCCGATGGAGACTTTTTATTTACTTATTTGGCTTGTTTGCCGTCTCGAAAAAGGGATTTCTTTGCCGAGATTGGCAAACTGCACCCAGATCCCTTCTTAGATCTGGATTTCCACGCATCGCTGGGAGGTTGGGACGGTTCCCTTCAGCTCAGACTATACAATAAAATAAAGTAAAATAAATCTAATTGGGTTGTTCTGGATATCCTTTCTAACGTTGGGGTGTTTTCCTTTTGGTGCGGGATTTTGTTTGCTCTGGGTTTCGTGGCGACTTAAATAAAGGCGACTTGGTAAAGAGGAAGAAATGGAATCGTGTGAACAGGAGGCAGGGACGGACTTCTGAAATTTGCCCCTTAGCCCTTGGCTTTTAATGTGTTTTCTTGGGAGTAAAATCCTGCTTGGTCCTATTCCCCCCCCCCTCTGTGTTCTCCTCGCCTTGGCCCAGGACAAATATCTGTGTATGAAGCCTCCTCTTTTGGGAGACATAGCAGCACCCTGAAGTGGTTGCACGCATTTTTGTTACTAAGGCATGTGTGTGAGAGAGAGAGAAAGGGAGAAAGAGAGAGGGAGGGAGAGGGAGAGAGAGAAACGTGGAGCAAAAGTCAAAAGTGGCTGAGCATCATCACCACCATCCGTGTGGCAGAGAAGAATGGCAGAGATCTCAAGGGAGCCCTGAAGTTTAAGGTCACTGTTCCAAAGTTGACCACCATCTCCTTTCTCCGATTCTCTCTGTGTTGACTTAATTGGTGTCTATCCCATGGAAAGGTTACCTTTACCTTTATTCCATGTAAGCCATTCCATGTTGCAAGAGTTTCCCAGCAGAAGAAGAAAATGCCTCTACCTTTAGGGAAGGATCAACCTGTCCCAGAGTTTAAAGAAAGCAGAGGTTTAACCTAGAGAGGAAGAACGTTGTAAAATGTTCAGCTTGGAAATCCAGTTTTAATTGCTTGGCTCAGACGGCGAGATCAAGTTAGACTTTTTTTTTTTAAGTCTGGGCAAACCGCAAGATCAGCGTGAGAATATTACAGAGAATATAAAGTGTTTCGACTTATTAAAGAGGTCGTGTTATTGTCACTATGGATGATTGCATTATTATTATCCTGTGAGGTGCCAGATGATTAAAAAGTTCACTCTATGTACCTGTAAGAGCTGTAATCCGCAATGGAGCTTCATGGGGATTTCAGCATCAGAGCGACCTTAGTTGTGCAAAATGTTGATTCAAATCGTTTCCCCCAGGTATCTTGAATTCCCACTGTAGCCCAAATGGGATTGTCATTTTTTTCTCTCTCCCCCACAATATTCCCAAAATTTCCCATCTTTTCCTCCCATTCAGCCTCAAGAACAGTGCTCCATAAAGCATAGGGTAACTCTCCTTGAAAGCAGCTCAGCCTTTCAAAGGTGAGGAAGGCAACCTCTGATCTATAACCTCTGGGAGATAACCGAGTCCGTTATCTTCCAAAGAGGGTTGCAAATTTGCTTGATGCACCTGGGTAGAGTCCCAGCTTCAAAACCAAGACCGTTTCTACACAGAAAAGAACCCGCGACCATAAAGATCCTTATAACGCCGCAGTAATACTACTCCTACTACTACCGAGGATGAGGATGAGGAGGCATTCTCATCATCTTACTAATGTTTCTCCGAGTTCCAAAATCTCACTTTCAAGAATGAGGAAGAGGGAAAGAAGGAGTGGAAGGGATGGAGAGAAGGAGAAAAACATTTTTAAAAGATAAAAAGACAGACAGACAAACAGACGGAGAGGCTGCTCAGAGCGATGGATGGAGGGGGAGGCGGAGAGAGTGAGAGCGGCGAGGGATGGAAGTCGAACGGACTCGCTTTAGGACCGCGCGGACTTGGCCGGGGCTTCCCAAGCCATTCCTCCCCCTCCCAGCCCCGCACAAGGCTAAACTGCCCAATGAGGGCCGAGGGGAGGTCCGCGAGCTCCTGACCAGTCAAAGGCAGCCTCTTGCCTTATAAGGCGAGCGGTCGCCATGGCAACGTGTGCTAAGTTGCAGCCGCGGTGTCAAAGTTCACTATATAGAGAGCTGGGTGAGCTGAGCGCGGAGAAAGCCTCCGCCGCTTGCCCCAGCCGGTCTCCTATAAATCGCATTCACTCCTTTAACTCCCCCCCCCGCCTCTCCTCCTCCTCCTCCCTTCTTCCTCCTCTCCCGCATATTGCATCCCTGGGATTCTGGCCTCCCCCTCCTCTCTTTTCTCTTTCTTTTTTTTTCTTTCTTTTTCTTTCTCTCTCTCTCTCTCTCCTTTTTTGTTCTTCTCCCCCTTTCCCCCCTCCCTCTTTTATTAGTATTAGTATTATTTTAAATCGTCTCTATCGCTGGTATTGCTGTGCAATCGCCCCCTCCCCCCTCTCTCTCTCTTTCTCTCTCTCTCCCCCCCCCCGCTGTCTCTCTCTCTCTCTCTCCCCAGCCGTCCCCCTTTTGTAATTTTTTTTACTTTTCTTCCCCTTTTGCTAACAGA